AGCCCATAAGCAAGCTTTGAAATATTATGTTACAAAATTGTGAAACTGGGACATGAAATTTGATTTGAAAATGAAATTTATCCTGATCAGGAGCTGTTACGATCTAAATGGTGTTCTAGATCCAGTAAGCAAACAGGAAGAGCTGCAATGTGTGTGCTTTTTCATTAATGAATAAATAATAAAAAGTTGACTACAGCGCCATCCAGTTGGTGTTCGCTCTCTCTGCGGTAGAGTATCACTTCCTGTTCCAACACATAGTGGTGTTTCTGTGTAGCTTATCTGTGTAGCAGTTTAATTAAAAACATAGAGATAACTTCTTATTTCATAGTGTAATCTTCCTACTTGAACATCACATGCCCAAAGGGAACTGACTATTTTGCTTTGGACGCTTTGTGTTTACATCTTTTTGTAGAATCTGTTTACACATTCAAAATAAAGAAACAGAGCTTTGTTCGTTTGTTTTTTGTTTCTTTTAACTTTCTTCGTAGTCTGAGTATACGTACACTTGGGCCACATGCTTCAGGAATCCTTCCACAAGCTTTCTGCAATAGTTTGCTCAAATCTCAGCCCACTCCTCTTGACAGAAGTGGTGTAACTGCCTCAGGTTTGTAGGTCTCACACTCGCTTTTTCCATCCCGCCCACAAATTTTCTCTGGGACTGAGATCAGGACTTTGTGATGGCCACTCCAAAACTTTGATTTATTATCCTTAAGCCACTTTGTAACTAATTTGGAGGTATGCCTGGGGTCATTGTCCATCTGGAAGACCCATTTGCGCCCAAGCTTCAGCTTCCTGGTTGATGTCTTCAGATACTCCACATACATTTCTTTTCTCATGAAGCCATCTATTCTGTGAGGGGCACCAGTCCCTTCTGCAACAGAACGGCCCCACAACATGAAGCTGCCACCTCCATACTTCACAGTTGGGATGGTGTTCTGAGGCTTCAAAGCGTCCTCCTTTTTCCTCCAAATATATTGTTTATCATTATAGCCGAACAGTTACATTTTTGTTTCATCAGACCACAGGACATGTCTCCAGA